GTTAAGATCTTCTATTTCTTTTTAGTTCAGTTTTGGAAAGTTATACTTTTCTAAGAATTTGTCCATTTCTTCCAAGTTGTCCATTTTATTGGCATAGAGCTGCTGGTAGTAGTCTCTTACGATCCTTCGTATTTCAGTGTTGTCTGTTGTGATCTCTCCCTTTTCATTTCTAATTTTGTTAATAAGGTTCTTCTCTCTTTGTTTCTTAATGAGTCTTGCTAATGGTTTGTCAATTTTTTTGTCAGTCATTTTGAAAGATGTTTTCATTGGGTATATAGATCTGAGTACATTGAAGGTGTTGCTCTTCTGTCTTCCCACTTGCAATGTTTCTTTCTCTAAGAATTTTGAAATATATATTCATTTATTTATTTTGGCTGCACTAGGTCTAAGTTGCAGCATGTGGGGTCTAGTTCCCTGACCAGGAATCAAACCTGCGCCCCTCGCATAGGGAGCATGGGGTCTTAGCCACTGGACCACCAGGGAAGGCCCTCACTTCTAATGTTTCTAACAAGCACTGTTTTGTTCTTTCTTACATTTATTTATTTGTTAATTGAAGGATAATTGCTTTACAGAATTTTATTGTTTTCTGTCAAAGCTCAACATGAATCAGCCATAGGAATACATGTATCCTCTCCCTTTTGAGCTCCCTCCCATCTCCTCCCCATCCCACCCCTCTAGGTTGATACAGGGCCCCTGTTTGGGTTTCCAGAGCCGTACAGCAGATTCCCGTTGGCTATCTATTTACACGGGGTAATGTGAGTTTCCACGTTACTCTCTCCACGCATCTCACCCTCTCCTCCCCTCTGCTGCTTTGTTCTTCTGTGTGCAGCATTTTGCTGTCCTCCGGCTGCTTTTATGATTTGCTCTTTATCACTGGCTATTAACATTATACTTACGCTGTTTTTCTAGTTTTTTTTCCCATGTTTCTTAAACATGTGTTTGTTGAACTTTTTGGATTGAAGTTTTATAGTTTTTTTTTTAATTTTTTTTTCCATTTATTTTTATTAGTTGGAGGCTAATTACTTTACATCATTGCAGTGGTTTCTGTCATACATATAGTTTTTATTAAATAAAAAAAATCAGCCCAAAAAAAAGAAGGATTGCTGTAAATTACTTCTGCTTGAGTGGACTGTGGTTCACTGAATGAATTCTTAGTGGAGCTATGGGAAGCTTTGTATTTTATTCATGTTTCAGGTCCTCCATCAAGTTGATTTCTTTCATTTCAAATGGAAAGAAATAACACAGTCCGAGAACTGACTCTGATGCTTACTCTGCCCTGGGCAAGTGTGCTCACCACGATAAACCTCAGTTTTCCTATTTGTAAAGTGGACATTCATTCACCCATATTCATTTATATAGCAACAAATTTATTGAACTTTTAGTACAGTCAGACCCTGTACTAGCTTCTTTGAATAAAGAAGACAAATGCCTCTGCTGAGAAGGAACTCAAAGTCCAGTGGGGAAGACAGACCACAAAATAATAAATGAAGTAATAGCTGGTATGTAAGATGACTGTAAGTGCTCTGGTGAAAACAAAGAAGGGTGAGAGAGAGAAAAAGGCGGAGAGGACAGGTGGACCAGGAAAGGCATCTGATAAGGTGCCAGAGAGGTGCAGAAATCAAGGGGAGTCGTGTGGGTACCTGGGTGGGGGAGAAGGCACTTCCCCAAGGCAGAGGAAACAGGGGGGACGAGGGCCCTGAGGTGGGGGTACACGTGAAGTCTTTGGTGAAGAGCAAGGGGGCCTGTGAGGCTGGAGCCATGACCAAGGTCAGACAGGCAATGGAGTCTTTATCAGATCGGGCCTTGGGGCCACGGAAACAACGCTGACCTTCATTCTAGATGAGCCTGGGGAATCACTGGAGATTTTCCAGCATTCAGGTGGGAGGATCTGACTCGTGTTTCTTAAAAATATTGCGCTGGCTCCAGAGTGGGAGATAGCTGACAGGAAGAAGGGCAGCAGCCAGGGAGCTGCTGACGAGGCAGGTGCAACAAGCGAGGGGGTGCAGCGGTGGTGACGGGCGGTAAACTCTAGATTTACCTTGGAGGCGGAATGAAGAGGACTTGATGATGGGTGAGGTGAAGTGTGGGAGACAGAAACCTGTCAGAGATGACTCCAAGGATCTTGGTCTGAGCAGCTGAGGGAAGGGAAAGACTATTTACTAAGATGGAGGGATAATGATACCTAATCCTTGGGAGGCTGTTTCAGGGATAAAATGAGATGATGCAAATGCATGCAGTTCCAGAACCTGAAAGCATCATATGGATACAAAAGATGAAAAATTAGAAGGTCACTGAAGAGCTGCTCATTCTCAAACATCCCCAATACTCCTATCTTAAAGCCAAAGACCAGTGCTGATTTTCTCGCTGACAATTTCCCATTCAATAAAGAAAGCTATTCAAATGGCCCAGTGGCTCATTCCAGGAACCACAGTCCACACAAAAAAAGAGTCAATCATACTAATCCTAATGTTTCCTTTAGAATTTTAACAAACATTGAACTAGGTACAATTTATTGGGTCGGCCAAAAAGTTCGTTCAGTTTTAAGTAAAAATTAAAAAACATATTTTTCATTTTCACCAAGAACTTCATTGAACAATGTATTTACTAATCAAACAAAGTTTTTCACCAACCCAATATAATCTCAGCTGTAATTCTTAAAAATTTCTTTCTCTCATTCTCTAAGCTGTGACACGATTCTGATATTTCTATCCTCCTTCCCCATGTAACAGGGCTTCATAAAGCTATTTTAGGTTCAAATGCAAAAAAAAAAAAATATAGTTGAGAACACTTTTTTCCTTGCATCATCCCTTGAGTAGCTAAGGTCGTTCTGATTTTAGGGCACAGTGGGTCAGACCATGTTTTAAGGCAACCACCATTCACTTTTCAGAGCAGCTCTATGCCCTCCTGGTATATTTCCTGGCAGGGGTAGTTTTTAAATGGCAGCTTAGTAAACTGAAATAGCTGTGAAGCCCATCAGAAGTGAGTTACAGATTTATCCTGTCATCCATAAGATCAAGATGGCCTGAAATATGTTAATAATTCTACAACTGAATCAAGAGAAAAATTACTTAACTCAGATTGGTTAGAGAAAAGAAGAGAGTGTAAGAAATAGGAATTTGTCTGATGAGGAAAGGGATATGTATGTCAAGTGTTTGCAGTGGGGATTAAAGAACAGAGTGTTTATAAAATTCCTAGTTCAGAGCTTCAAAGGGGCCTAGAAAGTGGGGTGAGCTACTGATCTTTTTAAGGAAGCTTTTTTTTTTTTTTGAAACATATTTAAGGACAGATACATTCATTCATATTCTCTTTTTTGTCTGCTTTATCCTCTTCACTTCGCCCTTATCCCCTCCATACTGCTCACTCATGTTCTTGTTCTGTTAGCAAACATATACCAAGTATTTATGAGACAATGTCTGCATCAGACCCAAAATCTGTTTCTGGGTGCCAGAGGAACCCAACAGAATTCTCAAATCCTTTGTCTTAAAAGTAGGATATTTATATTGAACAAGACAAGATTTTAGGGAGAAATTCCATTTAACATTTTGGGAATAAGTGTAAGGAATATGATAAGGAGGAAAAGCTGACCTCAGAAACATGTCACAATCATTTTCATGAGTTGCTAACGTAACTGAAGCGAAGCTGGATGCCCTCCATGATGGATGGTTGGAAAAGGACAGAACGTATAGCAGAGCCATGGCTCACTCTCCTACAGCCTTTGCACAGCCACAGGCAGAAGAGCTTTGCTAAAATCCCACCTCACACTCTAGGAACAGTCTGGCTAGCAGATAATGCCATGGAAATTCCTCAAATCTCAGTCAGAGCCCAGGTTCAGGACCTGGTCCTTAGTTTGTGGGAAGCCTTTGCTTCCTCTGGAGTTCCTCATACCTGACCCCCTCCAATGCCCTGGCTGGTATCTTTCCCTTTCCCTCAAATCCTGAGCCTTCTCTGTTCCCTAGAACCTGGAAGCACCAAGACCAGAGTGCTGCTCTCTACTCGGATCACAGGCTGCCGTGGTCTGCCCAGCTGCTGGGATGTGAACCGCCTATCCTGACCACATACCTCTGGACCTCTCATCCCTCTGCATCTCTCATGGGCTTCTGTTTAAATCTGTCTTAACCAGTGGCTAGTCCATGGTATTTGGATTATGAATTCCCCAAATCTCTAGCACAAAACCAAGCTTCAATTTTCATGTCAATTTTACCACTTAAAGCAGAATGATAGCTGGTTGGCTGTGGTACGTGCAGAATCCGTGGAAAACAACCCACTCCCTTTCACTGGTTAACCATTCCCCTTATCAGAGTTAAATGGTCCAATTCCTTTCTAAGTGATCACATTTTCTGAGCTTGTGGGATCCAAGCAATTTAGCTTTGGGTGATGGCGCTCAATATAAACCCACATGTCAATAAACATTTCCTGTACAAACCACTGGATTGATCTATAAAATAAAACTATGTTTTATCTATTTTTTTTTATCCTACTTGAAATTACTTTATTGGTCATTCCTCTCAAATCTTAAGAAACTTAAGACAAATTTTCCACTTTGTGGTTAATTTAAATGCTACGCTAAACACTAAAACTGATTCATTGTGAATTGATTGTTTGAAGGTTGCCTAAGGCAACTGCTCACACCTCCTGGATGTGGTTGTTAATGAAGGTGTAAGTGCATGTGTCGGAGAGTCAGAAAGATCTAGATGCCTTTAAGAAGGTACGTGAAGCCAGTAAAATCTCATAAACCAGAGCCTGGGGCTGGGAAGGTTTTGAACTGTACTGGAAATTTTTTTAGAAAGGAGAAAGAAACAACTATCCTGACAGTTTAGCAAAAATGCAAATACAGTAATCATAAGGATTAAGGAAGTCTATAGTAAATATCATAGTCATGTATTTTAATAATCTCTCATATATTTCTTTATATTTTCTTCCATGTCATTCTCCAAAGAACTTTTTTTTTTTTAAATAAATAATTGGATGAAGAAATTACCCCTCAGAGAAGGAGCACTTACCCAGAATGCTTCATATTCTGAGGTTTATCCATTCGGACAGCAAGTTTGATTTTGAGGTCTTGATCGGGGCAGTTTTTGGAGACTGTCATTTTGTGCCACTCTGACTGTTTGGGGCTGTTGGGGGTGGGATGGAGAATAACCTGCAGGGAAAAAAGACAACCATCTTAGCCAGAAAATAGGAACACAATATGGATATGTTTTCACAGATGAAAAACTTTGCTGCTGAGAATTGAGGGTCTTATCCATGCTCCACGGCCAGCAGGAAGGCAGTTAAGGCCTAAACAACAGCCTTAAATCCAAGGATCCACCTACCAACTACGGCTGATTGGTGCCACGCAGCCGGGCCTGAGGACAGAAGTGGCATTCTTGGTTTTCTTCTCTCTCTCCCTGGCTAATTCTGAAAGGGCAGGGATCACAATTTCTGTGATCATGCTTCTGAGTAAAGCAACACAGAACTAAGAATGAACTCCACATATTACTCTCCTCAAAGATGGCTGCAAAGAAGGAAGAAACATCCTTCTATAGTAGAGAGAACGTCTATTCCTTTTCCCATTCTTCAGGATTTCTTCTGCTATCTCAAGAGGAGAAATCCCATTAGGGTTGCAGGGGAAGGAGGAAGGGACATGATTTGATGGGACAGGCTTAGAGTCCCACACTTCAACCTGGATGTGACATCACAGAGCACCCAGCTCTGTCCTGGCCCAGAGGGAAGCACACACAGCTCGAAGAAGGATAGGCTCTGAGGAAAGGCCTGTCACCAGGGTGCTTCAGAGATGACAAAGTGACGTGGGTCTTCCGTCCCACCTCTCATTGTCACAGGTGCCGTAAGTGAAGCCAGAAGGGGACCCACTTCTCCTATAAATCCACTTTTTCCTGATGTGACAGAGCTCTCACTCAGGAGCCACCTGGGGTCCAGGGAGCACGCATTCAAGAGGACCGAAGTATCTGGAAAACCCCCTAAACAAAGGGAATGTGAACCAAACACAGGCGTGGCCAAAGCCGGGCCTCTGCTTCTGGGATGGTAGAGAGCCCTGGTTTGGTGCGTGCTGTTTGGCCTGTTTTCAAAGCCTCTCTTTTCTCCAGGTGCAGCAAAGGCAGCCCCCTGCAGTCTGCAGGAGGACGAGGGAGGAGGCGGTCAGAGCCTCAGGGCTGGACACTCCGGCCTTCCAGGGGCTGTCCGCCTCAGTGCGGTCACGCAGGCTTGGCCTGCGCTTGGAGGGAGGAGCACACAGCTTCCTGTGGGACTGAGGAGCAAGGGCCTGGAGCGGAACAGGAGATCATGGCAGGAAAATAAAATCAGCCCACTTCGACATGTCTTGCCTGCTGATTTTTGACCCCTTCTGATTCTAGGCCTGACCCTTTTATTAATCCACTCAGTTCTGTCTTTCTGATGAAACAGAATTTGTACATTCTTGATAACTCCAACATTTGAGTCCTTTTAAGGTCTAAAGACCTGATTAAAATACAAGAAGGCCTGATTTTTCAAAACTGAGGCTGCCAACATTTCTGGAACATTACAGACTTCAGTAAAATTTTTTTAAGCAAGTAGCCAAAAACCTCTAAATAGATTACTAGTAATATAAAAATTAATATAAATCTATATAAAACATAAATCCATGTATATTTTATATGCTGTATCTTTACTTTATATTAATACTGCATTACATATATTTTAAAACATACACAAACAGAAGTTTTTAAAAGATGGGTTAAAGATTAAAAAAAAAAACTTCTATTTTTATTTTTTACTTTATTAATGTTTTTGACAGTGCCATTCTTGCGGGATCTCAGCTCCCTGACCAGGTATTGAACCTGTGACCCTCCCATGGAGGCACAGGCCACCAGGGAAGTGCCCTCAAACTCTAGTTTTAAACATCTTGCTAATGCTGGTGGCTCTCTACTACTATTAGCTATATGTTAAGGAACCATGTACAGTAATACAAGGCTCACTGTTAGTGATACCAGATGTGAACCCGTGGTTCAAGAGGACTTAATGGATAATTTCATACTGTTTTGATGGACATCTCATCCTGAGCACACTGGCATTGTTTTTATCTCATGACATGGATGGCAGAACTCTTCATTAGCAGGACTGATGTCACCTCCACTGTTTTCACATTTTTTGCCAGACTTGTAATACCAGCACTGTCTTTAAATCATAGCTCTTCTGTAGTAATCTTTCTGGTCATTTGCTCATTTTGTGAGGGCTGATTTAGTGGAAATTTCTATCAAAAAATGTCATCAGTCCATTTACCTGGCACTAGTGAACCGTGACATGCCTTGGGCCACTGGAAGGAAACCAGTCACAGTGCCACTGGGTTGTAGAGATCTCTCGTTATCTTTCAAGATAACGCCTGTCCCTCTAGGCCACCTCCATCATGTTCCACATCCTGAGAGCCCAGACTGTGGAGGCAGAGAGCGGGCCCTGCTGATCTTGGTGAAGCTGACCCTGTCAGCTGTGCTCGTTTGGCCCGAGAGGTGATGAGTGGGGAGAGGGGGTGATGTGTTGGGAAACAAGGATGGGGCGGAGCTGATAAGGGAAACACCACGAGGGCCAGAACAGCAGCAGGTAAGGCCCAGGGCCTCCTTCTGCTTCTGCTCATTTGGCAAAATCGAAACAGGCACTGGGTACCCAGAGCTCATTAACAGGCCATCCACCATATGGATCCTGGGCACATTTCCCATTGGCAATATGCTGTCCATTCGCTGACACAAATGGCCACAGATCATCACTGTCCACTCCACAAAGGCTTCTTCCCCCATTTGATCACTCCCTGGGGAGACCTCGTCTCTAGGGTGGATAGAGAGATGAGTTCACTGCAGTCTTCCTCCATCTTCATCCCCACCCTGCCATGTGCCCGACAGGCTGCCAAATCCTTTGTAAGTGTCAGCCCCACTGAATTATTAGGGTCCTTCTGGGGGCACATGAGTACACATGAGTCCTGAGTAGTCCAGACACCTCATCTAGACATTCCAGGCTGCTAATCAAGCACTTTGTCATCTCAGCCGCAGTCCATGTGTGTTGTGCTTTGATGTGGTAATGCTGATGCGGGAACACATGCCATCCCGAGCAGTAAGCTGCATGCCAGCCGGCCCCAGCTTCCCTTCAGTACCTGGGCATCCAGACAGATCTTTCTGGTGGATGGCTTTACACTGAGTCTTTACCTGGCTTTATTTACCTGACTGATCCCCTCCAACACTTAGCCTGTAAGTCTCTCCTGATCTCTGCATTCTCCTGGGTCAGTGTTTCTGCTCCTCAGACTAGAATATATCCCCTTGCTATGTGTTCCCCAGGCATCTTTCTCTACCAGAGCACTCACCACACTACCCTGTAATTTCTGGGTTTTTGTCTCCATCCCTTATATTTTGTGAGGTTACGGACTTTTTTCTGTCATTCCTGTTTGCTCTGTGCATAGCACACATGACCAGACATGGCAGGCCTGCAATCCTATTTGATGAATGTGTTTGACAGCACTGCAGTGTTGGCAAGAGTGTGGGGAAACAGACATTCCCTCATGCCTTTTGAGAATTATAAATTGGGGTACACTCTTTGGGGCCTCCCAGTTGGCATTAGTGGTAAATAATCTGCCTGCCAATGCAGGAGATCAAGGGACACAGGTTGGATACCTGGGTTGGAAAAATCCCCTGGAGTAGGAAATCACAATCCACTCCAGTGTTCCTGCTTGGAAAATTTCATGGACAGAGAAGTCTGGTGGGCTACAGTCAGCGGGGTAACAAAGAGTCGGGCACAACTGAGCGACTGAGCACATGTACTCTTTAGGGGACAATTTGGTAGTTATCGGTCAAATTTCAATTTTCATGCAACAAGGTATTTTTTGAAATTTACCCTATTTATGTACACAAACATGCAAAGAAATAAACAAGGTAATTCACAGAGGCACTGTTTACACAGCCAGAGAGTGGAGACAGTCTAAACAAATACATGTACATAGTGTACGTGGCTATGAAAACAAGAGGGAAGTCAATATGTGGTGATACAGACTGATCTCCAAATATGCTGGTATTTCGAGTGAAGTGCGGAGCAATATGTATCCAACTATGCTCTTTTTCTCTCTCTTTTTTAAGAGAGATATATGCAAATATGTTTGTACATACTATGTTTATACCTCCTAAGAATATCCGGGGAAGAATACACAACACATCAAAAACAAGGTTTTTCTCTGGTAAAAGATACTAAAGTTAGGTGGGTGGGCTCATTCATTTTCATTACATATCTATTTTGATTATTATTTTTTTAGTATATGAATAAATTACTTTTTAGTTAGCAAGATGAATAAAAATGAAACATAAAAACACAAATAGAACCAACTAAATACTATTACATGAAGGAACTTAGCACCAGAATCTTTGAATGTGGCTGTCTCCTGCTAAACTTGGGAAGAATCAATGCATAGAAACACTCAGTTGAAGGAATCTCCCCCAAACTCCCCTCCCAGGGGGAGAATGGCTACATGTGTATATACGTATGGCTGAGTCACTCTGCCGTGCACCCGAACCTATCACAACGCTGTTAACTGGCTATGTCTGCATGCTCAGTCACTAAGTCGTGACCGACTCTCTGCGACCCCATGGGCTGTATGTGTAGCCCACCAAGCTCCTCTGTCCATGGGATTTTCCAGGCAAGAACACTAGAGTGGGTTGCTATTTCCTTCTCCAGAGGATCTTCCTGACTCAAGGATTGAGCCTGTATCTCCTGCATTGGTAGGTGGATTCTTCACCACTGAGTCCCCTGGGAAGCCCCATTAATTGTCTGTTGTTGTCGTTGAGTTGCTAAGTTGTGTTTGACTCTGAAACCTCATGGACTGCACAGCTTCACTCTGCAGCACACCAGGTTCCTCGGTCCTCCACCATCTCCCCGAGTTTGCTCAAATTCATGTCCGCTGAATGGGTGATGCTATCTAACCATCTCATCCTCGGCTGCTCCTTGTTAAAAAGACCACTTCTGTCACCCAGCTGCTGCCTGTGGGGGTGCTGCCGGCAGAGGGCGCCCGCCCCTCCAGCACTAGGGCCAGGCAGGCCAGCTCCACTGCAAGGTGGAGTTTCCCAGGCAGGAAGGAGGGGTAAACTGCTCTCTGGCGGAATCTGCAATGAGACTGGAGGAAAGCATAATTCATTAAGAGATTAATGGCTGTGAGGGGCTGTGGCAAACTCACGGTCTTCACCCCAACAGCAGAGGAGTTTTATTTTTGCATGTGAACAAAATGGTGTAGTAAAAATAGCCCTAGAGATGAGGTGACATAATTCCTGGCAAGTCACTTACCTCCTCTGGGCCCAAGAACAGAGGAGGGCAGGAACTGTACCTTCTCCCTAGGGTTCAGATGAAGGGTCAGTGAGGGGCTGTGGCCTGGCCAGTGGCAAACATGCAACAGCGAATGGGTCCTGAATGAGGGGTGGCTGTGTGTGTGCACGTGCACGCCCTGGAGGAGCCTGCCTTCCACAGCAATCAGTTTCTCATCTTTAAAGTAAAAGGCTTTGACTAGACCAGTGGGTTTTAACTTCTCTGAGCGGAAACAGTTTTAGGAAGCTGGCAAACACTTGGATTAGCAAGCATTACTACTTCCCCCGCCCCAACGTCTGTAAACAATTTCAAGGGGCTCCTGAGGCCCATGGAATGGACTCAGGTTGATGCCTCCTGAACTTGAGTCTGCTAACACTAATATTCTAGGTCTCTGAGACACTCATGACTCCTGATTTGAGGCTTCACGGAAAAAGAAAGGTTTGAAGAAAAAGAAAAGACAGGCTCCTTCCCCCATTGTGTGTGTCTCTTCCCCTAGGGATGGAAATGAGTATTTGTCATTTCACAAAGAAAACAGGTAAACTTCTTCTTACTTTAATCCCCCTTCTTTTTCATGTGTGTGGGGAGAGGTCTTTTTGCTATTAGTCTTGTTTACTTTTTGTCTTATTTCAATCTGTGGTCTAGGTCCTAGTAATACGATTCTATAGAGTTCTACAGATGAAAACCAGTTAAAGGAAATGAAAAAACAAAGGTATGAAAAAGAAAGTCTGGTTAACGTGCTCTTACTGGTGTTCTTAGGCACGTGTACCTTAGGCGCGCCTTGAGGTATTCTGTCCCTGCACGACAGAGATGATGTGTCAGAGGCTCAGAGAGGTTAAGTGTCTTGGTTTGTGTCACAGAGCTTTCAGAAGGGAGTATGCACTCAACCAGGGCAGACGAAATGTGCTGGGCTCTGGGTACAGGTATAAGGTGGTAAACAAAATAATGTCCAGTTTCATGCTCATGGTCTCTCTCTTGCAATGGGAAAGAGGGATGGGGGCCGGGGCAAAAAAGGGGGCAGGGGATTGAGAGGTACAAACTACTATATATAAAATAAAGAAGACACAAGGCTATATTGTACAACATAAGGAATATATCCAGTATTTTATAATAATTGTAAATTTGAGTATAATCTATGAAAATACTGAATCACCATGCCGAACACCTGAAACAAAACACTGTGAACTGACTACACTCCAATATTTTTAAAAGGACAAAATTGCTTTCTATCTCCTTGGAATTTTTACAGTCCAGTGGGGGAGATAGAAGCCAAAATTTCTGTAAATTCTCTCAGTGATAAATTCTGGAGGATGTGAACAGGGAAGGAACTGAGGGGGTAAAGGCAGCAGGAGGATGGGCAGTCCCCAAAGGGCTCTCCGAGGAGGAGGCGGCATTGATTAGAGAAGCAAGCAGCCTCTGGCAGGGCTGGGTGGTGGGAAGAGGGTCCCAGGCAGAGAGAAAGCCTCCTGAGATGAGGGAGAATCTGGCGTGCTCGAGGGACTGAAATCTGGCCAGTGATGCCGGCGCATCTGGACGAGGGGCGAGGGGACAGAAAATGAGGCGGCTGGGGAGGTGGGCAGAGGCCAGGTCACATGGGTCTCTGGGCGTTGTGCTCCAGCTCTGATTTCACTGTGGAGCCGTGGGAGCACTATAAGCCAGCAAGGGGAAAAGTCCACTGGAGTTCTGAAAACACTAGCTGTTTGGTGCAGAGTCAGTCGGTAGCTGAGATGAAAGAAGAAATGATTCATAAAAGAAAGGATTCAAATAAGAATTAATATCTCAGTGGTGCTCAGAGGGATTGGTACCACCCCTTGAGATGTTTCAGAAATGTGGGGGACAGTTTTTGGTTGACAAAACAGTTGGCGCTGGCCTCTGTTGGTATTGAACGGGCGGGGCCCAGGGGTACTAATCACCCAACCACAAGTGAGCTATTCTCTATGATGATGAATCGTCCTGCATTCTGCCTGACTGTTGAATACTCCCATCAGATAGGAACGAAGGTAGAAAAAACTGCTGATGATCAACCGAGTCTAGATCCTAAATCTGTTTTTTACACGTATACTCTTAAGTGTGCTTGGCATGTTTCTAGGGAGCACTTACCCGTCCCAGCTCCTTGTCCTCCAAGGCCAGGACTCCCGTGCTCTCCGTGAACAGCTTCACCTTCACAGCGGGCAGTGCGTGGGTTGTAGAGAAGTCGCCCTGGGTGCCCCAGCTGTGGATGGAATCGGAGAGGTCACTGGCGAGCCCTCCACTGTCACAATGCTCAACTTAGCCCTGCCTTCCTCTTGGGTTGGGTGAACACAGGGTTAACCTGAGGCATTATCACTGGCTGTCACATCCCTCTTCCCTCCCCTCCCAAGCTGCCAGAATGACAGAAAGTGTTAATTAACTTGTTAGACAAATGCAAGACAGATGCTCAGAAAGTTGCCAGGGGTCTTCACAGAGCACTAGAAGGAATCACTTGGAATTAGCATGAAATCAAGTTGGTGAGAACTTTGTCCCATGCACTTGCTTTCCCCACAAACTACTCCAGGGTAACTGCTAACATTTTCTTGTAGCCAGGACTCAATCCCTAGTTCTTGGAAACTGCTGTTACAGATTTTTTGAGATGGTGCTTCCTCTGGCCGGACCTAACATATGACTTTACAATGAGACCTCACTAGGAGGGGGTTGGGAGGGAGTCCTATTTCCACTGACATTCAAAGATATGTTGACTAGAGCGATGGCTGAAAGCTTAGCCCTGATAAAGAGGAATGAAGGTGGAAAGAGGTGATGAGGGAAACCCCCTTCCCCACTCACCAATCTCTGGGAACCATAGTGGATCTCCCGAGAGGGGAGCCCCTGGCTTACCTGGCATTTGCCAGTCTGGGTTGACATGAGCCCCTGATGGGCCCCTGACATGTGACCTTTTCATTCATTCGCATGATTCTCAGAGCCACTTCCATCCACTCTGTACCTGAAATAGTGTGATCTTCTTAAAGTGCTGAGTGGATTACACTGAGCTGCTGCCCTAAACCCTTCCATGGAACCTGCTCCACTGTGTGGGGGCCATCCAGACCCCGGGTGCGGTCTCCCCGCCATCCACCAGAGGGTCATGGGCTCTCCATCCTGCTACCTCCAGCTGCTGCCTGCATAGCTCCACCTGCTTGCAGTGTTCTCTCCACCCTACCCCTCTCCTGGCGAACTCTTCAGGGCTCCGCTTAAATAACCTACCCAGAGAATACGTCCCTTGAACTCCCAGTCTCAATTTGGTGCCAGTGTTAAACTCTCTTGAACGTACTGTTTAATTTTCTTTCCTAAGAATCACAGATTTGTAATGACTGATTTACTGTGGTGATTGTTTAGTAACTGAATCCTCTCATATTCTGTAAGCTCCATAAATGCATGACTGTGTATTTTGTTTATCTTGCATTACCACAGTACTTAGCACACAAAAGAAACTTAACAAATATTTATTGAATAAATAAATTATGCAAATACATATTCTTTTATAGAATTAGGAAATAGGAATAGATATAATTTTCTACAGAAATGTTTCTCAGTTTGCCTACATAATGGTCAATTTCCATATTATAGATTACTCACTGAACATTATTTTTAATGATTGTAATATTATGGATGCATCATAATTTATTTAACCACTGCTCTATTACTGAGATTGGGTTGGACATTACTTTTTAACTTCATTTCTGTGTATTTCCTTGGGAATCAGGGAGTTAGATGGGAGATCATTTCTTCATTCATTCATCAACAAACATGGTAGTGCTCCTACAATGTTGTGGGAACTGCGCTCATCAATGATGATTTTCATGGTTTGGAAGTGATCATCCATTTCCAAAATGCTTTCCACACAGGTGGTGACTATCCTCCTACCATATGGGAAGGAGAGTGCAAATCACATGGCTTTTTGCCTCCTCTGGGTGTTCCTATTCGTTTTTTCTTCTGGCCAATTTTGTCACTGTTGTCTTCATGGGCATTTCTGTGGTAAATAGCAGGCTTGACTATTTCACTCTATGTTTGCTGGCTGTTTGTATTTCTTCATTTGTAAATGATGGAACCCTGGCTTCTAATCTCATGGTTGTACACAATAGGCTAAATCTCACTAACTTAACTCAAAAACATGAGGTACCTAGAGAGCTGGTAAGAGAGCACCAAATGGAGACAAGGGGCCATCCAGCTCCACGGGGATCCAAGTGTTTGAGGACCACGGAGACAACACCACAGTCACAGAGAGAAAGGCAGAGGACACGGAGAGCACGTGAGGCAGGGCGAGCAGCAACAGGCTTCAAATGCAACAGCAAAATGTGAGACGTCCAGATGGAAGCAGCTCATTTTGCTCATCAGCTACTGCAGCTACTCCTAAGCGCCTGAGATGGGGAGCCTCTGTCCTAGCAAAGGCAACATGGCAAGGCGTGAGGTTCTGAACCCAACACTCTTCATTCAAATCCCGTTAAGTCACCGACAAATTGTAGGACGTGGGCGAGTCAATGTCCCTGAGCTTCAGTTTTCTTAGTGATAAAATAACATAATTTCAGAGAATAGTTATAAATAGCAGCAGGCTTCGGACAGGGTAAGAGCCCCTCAAACTCGAACTACCTTCCTTACCCAAATAATGATACATAGATGTATTCTAGAAACTGTGACACTCACTGATCTTTTGCATTATTCATTCAACACATATATATATTAAGCACTTATTAACTATCTGACCCTTTGCTAGCAAACAAGAGGGACTTAACCCTTCCTACTACACAAGGTAAAAAGTTCATACTGTGCCCATTTCAAAGATGAGAAGACTGAGAACTTCAAGATCTTGTCCATTGTATTCCAGTGAACTGTGATTGGTTTGGGCTGGAACCCAAATCTCTTAATTCCCATTTATAGCTCTTGCTGCTATTAATGTTGTAATATTCAACAGAAAGCATTATTAACAATTTGGCAGTGATCATTACTATTTATGATTAATTGTGCTATGAATTTCTTTGGGCATTTATCATGCTTAGTCAAGGAAATAAGGAAGATTCCTGATGGAAACCAAGAATATTCTAAAATGAGGTGCTCTATCACGGTCACAAAGATGCCTTGATCCCAGGTCCCTGGGCATTCCTCACACTGGATACCTGGGACACTGTCCCGGACACTGCTGTGTAAGGATTTTTCTGGCCTGTTTGGTGGGCATGAACCCAGTCTGCCTGGACCCCTGGTGCCACCTAAGGCTGCTCAGCTCATGAGGCATTCAACATGACTCAGACCGTGGGGCAGGGCAAGGTCTCTGAGACCCCATCAGCTGGATGGAGTTCAAGCTGCTGGAGGCTGTCCTGACAACTCTGTCCCTTTGACCAGTGATTTCCTTTCCCTTCAACCAGGCTTGCAGCTGTGCCCCTGGCTTCCTACCATGACCCTTGGCTCACCTCAAGTTGCTTGGTTGCTTCCGACTCCCAGCTTATCCCCCAGATTTCAAAATGGTGACCCGGCCCAGTGGAGCAGGAAAAAAGAGAAAGCCCTCAGTGTATTCAGGACCAGCTATGTTATTTCCAGGGTCTGGCACAAAATGAAAATGTGGGCTCTTTGTTCAAAAGGCAGGAAAAAGTGCCCTTAAAGACACTAAAATACAGTGTTTTCCTTTCTCTGCATATTTCCTCTGTTCAAACACATGCATGTTATTCCATAAGACCCCACTTAGCTTACTCAAGGTCAAAGATAAAAGAATTAAGAATTTCAAGATAGGAATGAAGAGCATGAATGATACCAAAGGGTCTGCGTCTGGGGCCTGTGCAGCCACAGGGGTCACAAGCTCATGAATCAGGCTCTGAGCCCAAGGCCACCCTGTCTGTTTAGTGTGGTCAGAGAGCGGGCAATGGTGGTGGTCGGGGGGAAGGTCATCACAGTCACAGGACTCTGTGAAAACTACTCCCAGCTCCTTTTGGCAATGCTTCCTATTAGGGGGTGCCCCAAGGAGATTTACTTATCAGTTCTTTCCCTGCCCCTCTCCCCTCTGGAAAAAAAAGTCATGGAAATGTTCACTCCTTGTCTTTTTCCAACCATGGAAAAGACCTGACTATAAGAAAAACTGCTAATATTTCTTGAGAGCTTAGTATGTGCTGGTCACACATACCTATGGTCATATGTGTATTTTTATCTTGTTAAGCTCCCTTGGTCATCCTGTGAAATGCATATAATGATCTCCCCCCTAGTGACAGATGAGGAAACTGAGGCTCAGAGGGGACAGTCATGTGTCCAAGGTCACAGCAAGCAAATGCATTCTGGCTCCACCACCCAAACTTTTAGCCATGCTGCCAAACTGCCTTCCTCCCAAATGCCACCAACTTACTCCTTAGTGTCGGGATCCTGTTAACATCAACTACCTCTGTAACTCAAAGGCAGAGTTCTGTTTCAGAAGGGATGAGACCACTCTGAATTTACTTCACATGTTCAGTATGCTTCACAGGGTGCTACATAACCTGCAGACAAATCAGTTCATAGTGGAATCTAGTCTTCTTGGTGGAGCCAAACATTGATAAATGCATCTGTTTCTCATGGTTGCCTTCTTCTCTGCTCATTTATTTTCCTTTGTTGAGCACTCACTGTGGCTATTAAGATGAATACCTCTTCTCAGAGCTTCACAGGACTGAAATAAAATTCCACTTTGATTGGAAAAGACCAGAAGTTGATAGTATTTATGGCAAGTGGCAGTTGGGAAGGTTAACTAAGTTCTCCCTGAACACAGGGTACATAAAGTCAAGTGGGTGAGGTAGCCTTCTTCTGAGATCTTATCACACCTGCTACTGTACTCACACTGTACAATCAGCTCACAAAAGCACTAAAAACAGTTACCAATTCAGTGCTTATTTTGCCAGGTTCTGGGCTGAGCACTTTTCATTGATTATCTCATTTAATCCTTCTGAAAGTTCTGTAAGGCATATCCTGTGATTACTGCCACTTGATCAGTGGAGAAGCTATCACTTGGAGAGGTTAAGTAACTGGGCCAGGGTTTCAGGCTATCCCAGAACTGGGCTTCAAACTCAGAGTTTCTGATCTTAAAGCCCATGCATCAAACCATAGAGCTTGACTGCTTCTCCATGACTCACTAAGCTGTATTAGAACTGACAATCATCTGTGTGTCCAGCTCCCTTTCTAGATGAGTATCTTGGGGCAAGGAGCATGACTTTTTAAAAAAAATCTACTGTACCAAACACAGGGCCCAATACACAA